CCTTTGGGCCCCGCTCCTGCATGGGCTGCCAGAGGTTGCGGTAAGGAAGACACATAGCGCCATTCATTCGTCTCTAAATTATAGCACTCCACGCTGGACAAGTAGCCAGTTTCGTTTCTTCCGCCGATCACATACAAGTTCTTGTCGAGGCGACAGGCGTAGAAACTGGCCCTCCTGGAGCGCAGAACAGAACAGAACAAAACAAGCCAACAACAAGCCAATTAGCTGTGGCAACGATTTGGTTTTTTTTCATCTGACTCCCTGAACTAAGATAGCTGCTACTTCAAACGCTACTTCAGACGGAAGTGTCCGGGGGATTCACACGCACGCAGCAGTTCTGAAGACTACGTCTGCTTTGCTAATCAAATCCGCAAATACATGTTCTACATCAAATGAATTCTTCATTTTTGGTGTCAAACAATTAAGCACGCATAAATCTAGCAGAAAATACCTTTCTCCAAAGCTGTTTGTTGCTTTTGCACACCCGTGGAAGATAAAAAGGTGCTCATTAATGTTTGGGGCATTACCTTGTAAGGGATATAACAACTCAGTAAGACAAAGTGAAAAATGAGGTAGATAATGTAACAATAATAAATTATCTTGACATTCACTTTCTTTATGGTCCTTCAAGGGTCATTGTTCCCAATTTACTAAGAGAACCACATCATCAAAATTTTTCTTCAATTATCATTTTTTTCTTCTTTCTGCAGTGCTGCAAATAGAACAACTTTCCTTAAGCTAGGCACAATACCACATTTCTGCCCGTTACCTCAAAAAGGCGCGTCTCCATCCAACTAACTTTGAACAAAGTTTCAGCCACCTGTCTGATTTCACATGCAACTCAGGTATGCAGGGAACTAATTAATTTTTCTGCTCAGGAGTGCTGGACTTGTATGAGTTTGTCTTCCTTGCGCCTTCAAAATTAATGGTAAGTGTCTGTTACTGAAGTAAAAATAGAATGGTAGACCATTTTGAGACATACTGTTTGGGGTAGACCACATCAAGATACACTCTTTGGTGTAATCCTCTTCCAGGGAAAGCTACCCTAATTACTCTGTGGTGGCAAGGGTGATAGGACGGAGGGCTTTAATTTTAAGATGCAATGATATGAGACAGAAAATTGCAACAGAACATAGCTAGACTAGGATGAAGTCCTGCACAAAATGCTGAATGACAAGAGCTATAGATGCTGAACCTAAACTTCTTTCCAGAGTGAAACACCAGAGGAGTTACAAGGTCTAGTCCTAACAGCTCTGCGAAACTGGCCCACAAAGGTGTGATTACAGTTTGCCAAACCCACTTCTGCAGCTAACACAACGCTCTCCAGCCCATGCCTAGGCACCCAGATTTGCAGCAGGTAGCCATTGCAAATTGCACTATCCACCTCCTGAATCACAAGGTAAATTTGGGGATCTCAGTGATCCCATGCACTGTCCAGGGCTTGATGCTGCAAACTGCCAAGGCATACAGGGTGAGCTGCAGAGCAAAGCACGCAGCAGTGAACAACTCCAACGTGTCCCCGCTCCTCCCTCGGTTTTTCTAAAGTCCTGCCATGACCAATGGAACGAATGAAGCCAGTGTGCGGTGTCTCTAGCCTGCTGGTTGCTAAGGGAGGCATTTAGGTGTGTTTCCTTCAGTGGCAGCAGGGATAGGATTGCTCTTCTTTACCCAGCTATTTTCACAAAATCCCTAGTACATTAACTTTTTTGAGGCATTTTCCTCTTTGTTAAATGTGGCTGAAATTGGCTGATGATTTAAAAGTTGGGGGAGAGGTCAGACAGGCACATACATATATAGACACGGAAAGAGGCTGGGAGTTCAGGAAGCAAATCTGAGGCGACAACTACCTATTTCTGGCCTCACTTGGGGATTTGTGCACCTCTGATAGGGCCCATGAGGGTGAGGAGGTGCATTATGGAGCCCCTCTTTCACTTCTGCCTTGCCTGCATATGGGCAACGTGGATGGTGCAGAGTAGCACTTCTTGTTGTGAGGTCTCCTATGTGACACAGAAAGGGAAACACTGCCACAGGAAAAAAGCTATGCAAAGAAAAGACCACAAAGAGCAGGGCAAGAAAGCTGCTAAGTGTCTTCAACTAAACTGATGAATTAAATGAGACCATTTAATTTATCTGTCAATGGGCAGATAGAAGCTGATGGCATATATTGCTCTGCATGGTCGGGCAGCAAATTGTGCATCTATGTTTTTAGCCTGATTTTCTATGGAAACAAAGCTTATCTGATTACACTGTATAGATATCAATGTCTGCCTGAGTGTTGTCTCCTCAACAAAAATCTGCCAGCTGATTTCACTCTAGTTTGACAGCATGTATAGGTGCTAGAGCTAATCAAGTGCCTAATGCTTCCTGAGAGTAAATCACAGGCTAGAGGCAAGGGTATTTGCCCCAAAGGCAGGAAAAGCCACAGAGCTCGCATCTGGTTAGACACCGGAGAAGCTGCACAGGTGAGCCCCGTTGCACACCCATGTGCTGATGCAAGCTTCAGCCAGGGTTCAAGCAACCTACCACCACCTTTCCTCAGTGCTTCCTACCAAGGAGCCAAAGGGGTGTCCCTTATTTTCCCAACCCTAAGCCCAGCAGTGTTTGGCAGCTTTACTGGGCTCTATACAAGGCGTGGATTGGGCAGGATTTGTTGCCAGCCTTGAGAGGTTTTGAATTTTAGCCTACGCAAACACCTTTTGATGTATTTCAGTCAGATTTAGAGTAATAACCCTAATAAAATGTGCACCAGAAACTCTATGGTTATAAAAAATGCATATACTCTTCTACATGAATAGAAGTTTCTCTCTTTTTTTTTTTTTTTAAGTCCAAGCCTAGTAAACAGAGCTAGGTACAACTGGCAAGCATTATTTTAACCAGGATTTTGTTAACCTCACTCTGTATGTGTACTCCTGGTTTCATCCACACAGTGTCACTATAAGGAGCAAAAATGAAAGCGTCAGCAAGCTTCACTCTTCTGCTTGCATGTGAATATTCCCCCAGTAGCTCCTGCCACAAAGATTGTGAGGTTTTGGTTTTTCACTTTTCGATGATACATAGTTTAAGGGGTGCATTGTTAGATGATGATTTTTTTAAGTGGCTGTAAAATACGATCCAGATGATTTAAAATATAGTACAGTCATCTTAGCATTGCAACCTTTTCCTCACAAAACTGGGAGAAGACTACCTACTCTAATAAGATAACCGGAATGCACCTTGGGATCTGAATATGGACAACAAGACAGTTATTTTGTAATTTTCTCCAGGACTTACAAGTATTTGATGTTCCTCAGTCTCTAAAATGCATTTCCTTCAACCACCCTCAGTCAATAATGAACCCAACTAACTTTTTTCTCTTAAGTACTCACAAAAAGGAAACTTTTCTAGCATTTATTTTTGATTCCCAAAACCAATGAAATTATGCCTTGAAGCAGGAAATACGACTCTCAATCTGAGGTTTAAAACTACTGGTGTTATTACAGATCATCCCAGTAGCCTTGTTTCAAGGTCATTGCTAGAGTATATGTTTTGCTTTTTAAAAAATATAGTCATTTTAATAAAGGATAAGGTTATTAATAAAGTCAGAGACTATGAAAAAGTGTGAGATTGTTTTATCTCTTTTTCTGCCACTTATTTTCTCGTTCACTCAGCTTCGTGTGCTTCCTCATGCCCTGGAACAACACAGTACTTTTTGCTGTCAAGCACTGCATGTGATCTTTAAATAAAACCCTTTAAACTGCAAGGTAAGAAAAAGTAAGGTGTTGTAACTGCTATTATACTCCACGCACCTCCTCCAGCTCTGGGCTGAGCTGGGTTGATGAGGTCTCTGGTTCCAGGAACCAGAGGATAGTGGCATTTGCTGTCGTTCATCCCATACGTTAAGGTATGGCTGCTACAAGGGTCGCTCCTCTTTCATCAGACTTATCAGTCTAGCTGAACTGCTTTCCAAAAAGCACCCTATTGCTATTGTATTGCTAGGCAGACACATATTTTTTTAATAGCTAATGAATCATTCGCCACTTCTCTAAACGACATACACCTGAAAACGTCACATACTTTCCAAAAGCAAGTCTTTTTGAGATGTTCTTCAAAGTAAAAGAACCCAATTTTGGCTTGAAAGAAACACACGCTGATGGCTCTGAATCTGTAACAGGATTAGACGTTTCTTTATAGCTTGTACAGTGAAATCAATCTGATATGGATTTTATAATATGAGATAAAAGTTTACCCATCAAATATTTCATACAGATTTTTAACGTGAAAGTATACTGCCTGTGAATGAGACCCATGTTTACCTGGCAGTCTTTTCAAAGGAGCTATGATAATCTATCCAGCCAATTACTCTCACACTAAAATTCCTAAGTAGGTTTTGACTTGATGGACCATAATGACTCAGAAGAAGCCATTAAACCCTGCGTCTTGTCAATGGTGTCCGCATTATGCCAGCACATACAGTGCATGACCCTGGACTCCTGAAGGGAGAAAATAGCCTATTGACTTTAATGGGAACTTCATCTGACTAAGGAGCTGGGAATGGGGATGGCATAAAAGCTCTCTCCTGTTTGCAACACCTCTGAGGAAGTCATTAGGGATGAGCAAATAAACCATTCAACACATTTTAGAAAAATATTAAAAAATCCCTATTTTCCAGCAGCAGTCCCTATGCTTGGGAGCCTTTATAGGAAAATAATTGGCAAGACTATGGATTATGCATCCTGAGTAAAAGAGGTGACAATTAATACTGTTACAGTAAAGCCCCTAGCAAAAGGGACTATGTATCAGTGGACCATTACTTTTAAATAAAACTATAAAGTGCTGGGATGATAATACATTACAGTTTATTAGTGGGCAGCCATAACACACCGCAGAGTTTCTAATTCTTGGCTGAAAGCAGCAGCTTCCACCACGATGCAAGACTGAAGGCATATTCAGCACCTGGTATGATAAACTGGATCTGTATATTCTAGAACTGGCCACTATATAAGTGAAAAAATTGTTGTTGTCTGCTTTCTCCAAGCCTCAACTACCTACTTCTGCTTTCTGAGTTCTGAGCTTTCTCAATCAAATAAACCTAACCCGTCCAGATACTCAAATACTCAGAAGACCTAATTAGGACTGTGATTAGGCTACATAAAAGAGCTTCAGACTCAACACAAAGCCTGGTCCGCCCCCCAGCCCGCTAAGGCTGACCTGCACAGCGGCACCCAATCTCATGCACAGCCCGGACCCTGCAGCAAGTCAGTTCAGGGAGCTGAACCAGAGGGCAGGAGTCACTCTGCTCTGGTACAATGCAGTAGTTTTTGGTGACAAGCATCACACATGGGTCTGCCCATGGACATAGGCTGATCAAACTGAATCCTGAACAGGGGACCTTTAAAAACTCTGCAAGATTCTACCTCTGAAAATTTGAAGAGACAGCCATATTTCCATGCATCTCATAATACATACACACCTGAATCACACAGTCGCCTTGAGCTCAAGGTATTTATGACTGTCAGACACCTGATCACTGAGGACGGAAAAAGAGCTAAAATACTGTCAGCACACAGAATAAGGAGAATATCTTAGGAAGGTGGTGTGATCTATCTTGTACCTAAGATCTGTGAGAAGATGGATGTTGTTGAACTGAAGGATGGGCAGTCCTTTGAATGTTTTTTCATAAAACAACGGTATAACTTTGCATCGCCTGGCTTTAAGAAGAAACATGTACCACTCAGTTCAGGTTTGGGGGACTTTCTTCCCTGTCAGGGTAGGAACCAGGATCTAGAGTTAACTTTAAGGCATCTTCACAGGTCACTGCTCAAGTTCACACGCAGCTCTGCTCTTCAGTACACAGGAAGAATAAAAAGCACGCTACTCTCACATGCACTGGCTGACGGCAACTCCAGCCAAAGACCACCTAGGATAAGAGTCCTCTGACGGGGTAAGTCAGGTTGAGGAGAGCTTCTCATGGCTGGTGTGGTGAAACAGGATGGGGTCAACACGTGAAGGTTTCTGTTCTACATAAGAAATCCGACTATAATTATGCTTGTTTACTGCTAACTCATCATGACATTTCAGTCAGGGAACATGACAGGACACTATGGAGACTTCAAAAAAATCCTTCAGATCGTAGTCAGGCAACCAGTAATTGCACAAAGTCCATGGCTATTTTGCATCAGTTAACACCACAGCATTTGGCATCCGGACTTGTGAACTTGGAATGTTTAAAAAAATCAGGACACAAAGGGGAAGCAACGGCACATGCAGTTTTATCCCTGTACTTTCAGTGCTTCTGTAGGCCTCCTCACTCCCAGCACTAAGCCAAACTTCAGCTGCTCCTAGGATGATAAAACACATATTGAAAAACACGTAGTAGGTTTTTACCTCTCTTGCATGGGTGGAAGTTGTATCCAGCTGTTAAACCTGGGATCGTATCGGCTAACAAAGTTTGTACTGTGTTTCCCTGTAAAGATAGATTATTTTGACACTCAGCTGTTTGTTTCATGTATTTAACATCATGATTGTAATATATATTACATATACTTCACAAGTTGACAGCTTTTATGAAGGGTTCCCCCTTTTAAAACAATGTATGATTTCACTATGTGTACAGTAATAATTCAACCAACGGGGCACTACAAGGTTTGAATTAGCAATTGTCAGCAGTAAAAGTAGACAGAGATTATTCTTGCTGTCTGTAATAAGACCTTGAAAATATGTATTTAGCTTTAGTTATAGATGCTGTGGTATTTCCGCAGCCGCAATAAATCACATCACTAAACAAAATTTCTTCCC